CCGGGAAAATTTTTAAAAACAGATGGGAAATAAAAAAATCTGGGGTAATGGTACTGCCCCTTTTACTGGCCATGTAGTCACAAACTGTAAGGGGGAGGTGATGTCCTGGTAGTCAGTAAATGTGGGGTGATAGTGCTGTCGGGGGACAGTAATGGTGAAGCTTGGGGGGCTGTCCTGGGAGACAGAAATTGGGGAAGGGTGGAGATATGTCCGGGAGACCGTAAAGGGGGAAGCGGGGGTTTTTTTCCAGGGAGTCGGGAATTTTTACGAGGAAGGGAAAACATAAAATGCCTCATAGAGGACGGAGCCATAGTAGGGAAACATTTTAGTCAAAGATAAAATAAAAAACCCAAAATTGCAAAAATAGAAATACCGCAGGAAATAGCAAAAAAGAGGGCTCCAATTGCAAAAGTGGGTAAATTACCAAAAAAACTGGGGGGAGCTCCCTTGTTTGGTTTCTAGGGAGGATAGGATAAAAACAGGGAAACCCTGCACCAACAGGGAATACGTTACAAAAAAAAAAGGCAAAAGGAAACCAAGCCAGTGCACATACTTTGCAAATTTGGGATCTGCGCATGGGAAATCTGGAAAAACGAGGGAAAGCAACATGACCCCCCTAAAAATGGGCATGCCCATATGAAAACAGGAAAAAGCAAAAATCCCCTTCCCGTAAGCTTTTTCACCCCGAAAAAGTGTAAAAACTTCAGTACAGGAAAGACGTGCTATAACTTTTAATTTCCAGGCATCCCCTCAAAAGGGGGCAAAAAGGGTACAAAAAAATCCCCGGCCCGGGAAAACCTGGGTAGCCACAGCCACTCAAGAGGGAGAGGTTTTTTAGTGCCAGGAAGGAAAAAAAACTGCAGGAAATGGCAGAAATCGTACACCAAATCCAGTCATTCCTGGAGTGGAACCACAGTCGATGGCCTCCACTCCAAACCAACAGATACAGATACTAATGCCGGAAAAAAAATCCCCCCCCATACCAACAATACCACCAGTCCGATAACATTCTTCTTTGCAAATATACAGGGTCTAAAGCCAGCAACAAAAACAAAATACCTTTCATCCGTGGACTGCTGCAGAGGCAAAGGCAATGTTCGCGGGCTTTCACTGAGACCCACATAAAGGATCACTTGGACAACGAAATATGGATCCCAGGTTACAACCTATACAGATGTGACAGAGTGAACAGGCAAAAGGGGGGGGGGGGGGGGGTTGGCCTTGTACATTGCAGAGTCACTTTTGTTTGCACAGAACTGCTTAATGCCTCAAATGACGTAGTGGAAGTTTTAGCAGTAAAGGTCGAGAACCAAAACCTAGTCATTGTGGTAGTCTACAAGCCTCCGGATGCAACATCCCAGCAATTCCAGGAACAGCTGTTAAAAATTGACCACTGTCTGGAAAATCTTCCAGCTCCTGCACCCAACATCTTTGCTCCTGGGGGATTTCAACTTAAGGCACCTAAAATGGAGGAATATAGCAAATAATATTGTTGCAGTAATAACACCAGGAGGCAGCTCTGATGAAAACTCACACTCACACGAGCTTTAAATCTCTGCACAAAATTCAATTTAAACCAGCAAATAATAGAGCCTACTAGACTGAGAATACACTATACCTCATCTTCACTAACAATGATGATCTGATCAGAAATGTCACCATATCAAAAACAATATACTCAATCACAACATAATTGAGGTTCAGACTGTATGCGTGGAGCCCCAGCCGACAAAATGAGACTAGTCACGAGGAGCATTCACCAAATTCAACTTACAATAACAAAAATAAAGTGGGACCAGTAAACCAGTCCTAACCGATATAAGCTTGGGAAGATATACTAAGCAACACAGACCCAAACTTATGCCTAGAACAGATTAACTCGGTGGCACTCGATGTATGCACAGGCTTATTCCCTCTAAGAAAAAGGAGGAGTAGATGTAAAATAGAAAGAGACAGGCGCTCCCTTACAGGCGACGGAAAAGAATAACAGAGCGGCTAAAAGAGGTCAATATATCTGAAATGCGCGGGGAGACACTGGTCAGAGAAATAGCAAGCATCGAACTTAAGCTAAAAGAATCCTTTAGGAGTCAGGAATCGCGGGAAGAACTAAAAGCCATAAATGAAATCGAAAGAAACCCAAAGTATTTCTTCTCCTATGCCAAATCAAAATCGAGAACAACGTCCAGTATTGGGCCCTACTTAAACAAGATGGGTCCTACACAGATGACAACAAGGAAATGAGTGAGCTACTCAAGTCCCAATATGACTCAGTTTTTAGCAAGCCGTTAACCAGACTGAGAGTCGAAGATCAAAATGAATTTTTTATGAGAGAGCCACAAAATTTGATTAACACAAGCCTATCCGATGTTATCCTGACGCCAAATGACTTCGAACAGGCGATAAATGACATGCCCATGCACTCTGCCCCAGGGCCAGACTCATGGAACTCTGTGTTCATCAAGAACTGCAAGAAGCCCCTATCACGAGCCTTTTCCATCCTATGGAGAGGGAGCATGGACATGGGGGTCGTCCCTCAGTTACTAAAAACCACAAAGGGGGCAGTAAAGCAACAGCAAAGAACTACAGACCAATAGCACTAACATCCCATATCATAAAAATCTTTGAAAGGGTCCTAAGAAGCAAGATCACCACCCATCTAGAAACCCATCAGTTACACAACCCCTGGAACGCAGGAGGGAGAGATACATGATTATATACACCTGGAAAATCCTAGAGGGACTAGTACCGAACTTGCACACGAAAATCACTCACTACGAAAGCAAAAGACTTGGCAGACGATGCACCATCCCCCCAATGAAAAGCAGGGGTGTCACTAGCACGTTAAGAGACCATACAATAAGTGTCAGGGGCCCGAGACTGTTCAACTGCCTCCCAGCACACATATGGGGGATTACCAACAGACCCCTGGCAGTCTTCAAGCTGGCACTGGACAAGCACCTAAAGTCAGTTCCTGATCAGCCGGGCTGTGGCTCGTACGTTGGTTTGCGTGCAGCCAGCAGCAACAGCCTGGTTGATCAGGCGCTGATCCACCAGGAGGCCTGGTCACAGACCGGGCCGCGGGGGCGTTGACCCCCGAAACTCTCTCCAGGTAAACTCCAGGTATTACTTTCCCTGACATTAGTTTCCATCAATGGCTGGTCAAAGAATAATTCAAAGAATTCCAGTTCATTGGCCATGGTTCCAAGGGGACAAGTAGGTAGAATTCCACTTTGAGAGTCATCAAAGTGGTAGGGCTTGGGAACAAAATTGGGATTTTGCTGCCAATCCCAGATACGGTTTGCTGGTGGATACTGGACATCATAGGCTGGTTGTGCGGGTGGTTGTGGTGGGCTAGTGGCTGACGCTCTGCTTTGTCCTTGACCTGAGGAGTCAGCAGCATGGGTCCCAGCCTGGGCTGGTGAGTCACGCATGGCGGTGCCACTACCATCACCACTAACACCATCCACTGATGCCTGTGGTCTATCCATGCCAAGTGTAGCCACATCATCCTCACTATCACTATCTAAACCTGGTGTAGGGCCACCGGATGTACTCCGTCCCCTGGGCACAGCATAGGGTACACTACCCGAGCGCATGCAGGGGCGTACATACGGACGCTTCACTGGTGAATATGATTCCTCACTATCACTACTCGAATGATCATCAAGCGCAATAAAATCACAATCCACGTCATTATCATCATCATTACTGAAGTCAGAGGCCTGGCCACGCGAAAATATTAGTTTTCTCTTGCGTTGAGGCACAACCAACCGTGAGTCACGAGTGCCCACACCAGAGGTAGGAGGTTGAGGATCGTCAGTGTTTTCTGCACTATTATCGATATCCTGGTCATTCCTTTCGGTCACTAACTGATCAAAGCCATAGAATTCGTCTTCATTTCCACTTCCATCAATGTCAGAACTATCAGATAGGAAGAGGAGAGTCCCAATTTTCCATGGAGCGAGAGCTGACTTGCGACGAGGCATGGTGAACAAGGGTAACTGAGCTGGCGTTCCCACAATGCTATGTGGGCGCCTAGATTTTTCGTGTATGGCGCACACCCACCACTCAGACCTGTTCTCTCACATGTAGGCCTATGAGTGCTTTCGCTCTAAATTTGACGGCGCTAGAATTTTGGCGTAGATCTATGGTTTGGACACTCAACGTGAAGCCGTAGATCTTCTGGACGGACCCTGAAAGGATTAAAGTAACCAAGTCTGAAAATCAGTTTAAGACTCTTCTCAAAAGCCACTTAATCACCCTAGACTAAACGCTAAATACTCGGTACACGCATACTCGCCTATGTACTCCCACATCATAACTTCAGCACTCGCTTTGAACCTTTTATCCATTGTTGACAGGAATATAATTGAACCATTGTTTTCACAAATAGCATTTTAGACTATATGAATATATCCTTTGTCTTATACAAATTTAGTTCACTTATAATTAATAATCTACTGTTCAACTATGAAATAATTACTGTCCTACTGTACAACTATGATAAAATCGTTAGTGTTAAGTAGTCTGTAAGCCAATAATGTTAAGTTGGCCCATAATGCCTAGGCATAATAGAGGCTCTTTGCATTGCAACCCACTATTGTAAATATAAAATCTCAATGTACTGTTTGCAAAGACATTAAATAAATAAATGATGTTGAAAGTTTTTTCTTTTTGGGTTTTTCTTTCTTTTTGGATCACCCTACCTCGGTGGGCAATGACCGACGTGTTAAAAAAAATAAACTATTTATGTAATAGTGCTACACCATTAATGCTTCCCTTTCATATTTGTACATTGAATTGTAGAAGCTTTTAAACATTAAGAAAGTTTAAAAGTGTCTTTCTCTAGTGCAGTGAATGATGAAAATGTTTCTTCTTTTTCTGGTCACCTTGCCTTGGTGGGAAACAGTGTGGTAAAACTTGGAATCCACAGGAGAAAAATAATGTTTTTAATCTAGTCTAATATTTTTTTCTAACTTCTCTCTCTCCCTCTCTTTCAGAATTGCACTATGGCCAGGGTTTAGTACAAGTATTCGCCAGCATGAAAACTTACTTCTTATGAATGTTGATCTAAAGCATAAATTCCTTAGAAGAGATACAGCTTATGAAGTGTTACGAAAATGTATAGTAAATGGGGTGAGTCCAGTTTCATTATAATATAATAATGGAGCTAACTCCTATGCAAGTCCAAATAAAGATGTAGTTCTCAAATTTTAGGGTAAAGAAAATCAATGAATAACAAATAACTCTCTCTGAAACTAATGACTCCTTGTCCTCTACTATTGATACTAGGCAGAAACTTAATAGCTTCACTACAATAGAAACAATTCTTCCTACTGCACCAATATTAAAGGCCTATGCAGTAGGACCCCAAATTTGTGGGGAATATGTTCCAATGACCTGCCGTGGATACTAAAACTGGATAGTAGCAAACTTTATATATATGTCCTATTTTTTTTTTTCAACAAGTCGGCCGTCTCCCACCTAGGCAGGGTGACCCAAAAAGAAAGAAAATCCCCAAAAAGAAAATACCTTCATCATCATCAACACTTTCACCACACTCACACATAATCACTGTTTTTGCAGAGGTGCTCAGAATACAACAGCTTAGAAGCATATACGTATAAAGATACACAATATATCCCTCCAAACTGCCAATATCCCAAACCCCTCCTTTAAAGTGCAGGCATTGTACTTCCCATTTCCAGGACTCAAGTCCGACTATATAAAATAACCGGTTTCCTTGAATCCCTTCGCTAAATATTACTCTGCTTGGTATTTCTAGTATCAGTGATAGGATTGTTGAGATTAACACTGTACTCGGTATTAGAATGTTGAGAAATGAACCGGGTAAGAAATGGAAGTCCAAGCCCCTCTCACAAAACCACCTTTACCCCCTCCCTCCATCCTTTCCTAGGCTGATCCTTACCCCGCCTTCCCTCCACTACAGATTTATACACTCTCGAAGTCATTCTATTTCCTTCCAACCTCTCTACGTCTGAATCACCTCAACAAACCCTCCTCAGCCCTCTGGATTATAGTTTTGGTAATCCCGCACCTTCTAACTTCGAAACTACAAATTCTCCGCATTATATTTACACCACACACACACTCATATCTCGGCCCAAATTTACTGCTCACATTTTATCTGAGTGAGCTGAGCTCAAATAGAGCTATGGCACTGACACTGGCTTCAAGGCCGTAGAACTGACATGGACCCTCAAGGGGTGAAAGGTAGTGAAATATTGTGTGTTTTATTCGTAAACTTGTCAGTATTGTGAAACCATTAATGTAATGACTTAAAATTACCCCGACCGCCTTTGATCTGGCTCCTATTAGTAATGACCTCTACAATTATCTCAGTAATAAAATCACTTAAAAATTTAGTCAGTATCACAGAGGAAATGTCACCAAAATAAATATAGTAAATATTAATTTCTGAAATATATACTACCTGAAGTATGCCTGGAGAGAGTTTGGGGGTCAACACCTCTGCAGCCCGGTCTGTGACCAGGCCTCATGGTGGATCAGGGCCTGATCAACCAGGCTGTTACTGCTGGCCGCACGTAATCCAATGTACGAACCACAGCCTGGCTGGTCAGGTACTGACTTTAGGTGCCTGTCCAGTGCCTGCTTGAAGACTTTTCTTACTTTGTGGAAAAGTCCCTGGTTATGCAGAGCATTTTAGGCAAACTAAAACTAGAATCTAAAACTACATGAAATAACATCTCTGTATCCTTAGATTATTTTATTGTTAAGCTTGTTATAATTGAGTTGCCTGAATACCTGGAGGATGTATCAGGGGTCAGTGCTGCCATGGCTTGGTCTATGACTAGGCCTTGCAGTGGATCAGGGCCTGATCAGCCAGGCTTTTACTACTGGCTGCAATCAAACTGACGTACGAACCACAGCCTGGCTAGTCAGGTACTAACTTCAGGCCTTTCGAGCTCCCTCTTGAAAGCAGCCAGGGGTCTATTGGTAATCCCCTTTATGTATAATGGGAAGCAGTTGAAAAATCTTGGGCCCCTGACATTTATTGTGTTCTCTCTTAGTGTGCTTGTGGTGCCCCTGCTCTTTAATGGGAGGATGTTGCACCGCTTGCCAAATCTTTTGCTTTCGTAGGGAGTGATTTTTGTGTGCAGATTAGGGACTACTCTCTCTAGGATTTTCAGTGTGTATATTATCATGTATCTTTGTTACCTGCATTCCAAGGAGTACAGGTCAAGGGACTTCAACTGTTCTCTGTAATTTAGGTGCTTTTTTGTACTTAAATGTGCCATGAAAGTTGTGTGTGTATTTTCCAGGTTTGCAGTGTTGCCTGCCTTGAAAGGGACCATTAGTGTACACCAATATTCCAGCGTAGAGAAAAGTGATTTAAAGGGAATCATCATCTGGGCATCCCTAGTTTTGAAGGTTTTCATTATCCATCCTATCATTTTTCCTAGCAGATTTGGTAAAGACAATGCATATTGAGATCTTTGAAAGTGAGATTCTTAGACATTATCACTCCCAGGTCCTTCACATTAGTTTTTTTTTTTTTACTCTATTGTGTGGTTGGATTTTTTTTAGTACTCCTATCTAGTTTTTATTTCCTTGAGTTTTCCATAGCAGTTTAGTTTAATATGTTTATTATGCACCCCATACCCATCCTGTGGGCAGTAGTCAAAAGATTACAGAGGTACATAATTGGTCCAGGGACTGGACTCCAAAGTTTTGATAGCTGAACAAGTTACAGAGGTAATGAACTCACAATTTACAAAGGTAATGAACTCCATAGCAGAGTAATTGAAATTTGTCTTCATTGAACCTCATACTGCTTTCTGTGACACATTTAAAAATTTGGTTAATGTTCCCTTGGAGATTCGTAGTGTCTTCAGTGCATAACACTCATGCAAATTTGGATGTCATCCGCAAAGGACATGGTGTTGTGGCTTACTTCTGTCTAATTTGCTTTGAAAGAGATATTGCAGTGAAAATAGAAATTAAAACATGAGTGCTTTCATATGCTTACACATGTATCTTAGAGAAATAGGAAGAAGAGGCCCAACCCATTTTGCTTAATTTGCAAAATAAATATCAGTCTATCAATGCAGATCCTCTTCAAGGGGGGCTCCTTGGTGTGGTGAAGAGGCTCTTGGTCTGAGGAATTAGACCTGTCAGTCTCCTTCCTCAGACCGAACCTAATTACCCCCCAATCCCCCCTTCCCTATCCCATCCTCCCCACCTCTCCCCTTTTCCCTTTCCTCCTCCCCCTCCCCACCCGTCCCTTTTGCCCTTCCTCTTTTTGGCCTTTGGGATTTTTCCCACAGGTGCGCTAGTTCCTAGGTAGGGGAAAGGGTACCAGGGTCCATCCCATTCCGTTGAGGTTCTTGGCGGTGGCGTAGTTTGCCGTGGAATCTGGATCGCCTGGGGATGTCCCGATCCCTCTCCTGTATCCAGGAGAGTGGCTTTGGGTGTCTTTCAGGCGACGGGTGTATCTCTGGAAGCCACCTTTCAGATTCCGGGGGTGGTGGCAGAAAGAGGTATGCTTTGTGGTAGATATCCGGCCGCCCTCTCTTTTGTCCACCAAGGTAGCTCGGCAGATGTGAGGTTGCTATCCCGGATTGCTAGTTTACTGGCATGATGGGTAGGGTATGGCACGGGTTCCATGCTGCATCTACGCTACTTGCGGTGCTGAGGTCCTCTTGGGCGCTGAGGGAGATTTCTGGCCCTTTCATTCCTCCTAGGAACTATCCCTCCCCGGTCCTCCCTTTTTTTATTCTTTTTTTTTTTATTTTTATTTTCTTTCTTTTTTTTTTCTTAAAAACAAAAAGAAGGAAGTAACCTAACCATGGCAGCCCTAGTCCATGAACCTGATTTCCCCGGGCCCCTTCTTGATACCGCACCCCGTTCTGACCCCGCCTCGTCTTTGGACCACTCTTCGGACACTCCTCATGCCTCTGTACCTCTTGCCGGTGCTGTTTCCTCACCTGCTTCAGGTACTGAGGTCTCGACCGACTCCTTTGATTTATCTGACCTCCGCTCTCCTTTGACTATGCTTCCCGCCTCTCCCTCTACTGTGCAGCAATTTTGGAATCACCGGCCCGTTCCACGTCGGACCAATTCTGGTCCCACGCCTAAACGCCAACGACAGTTACCTGCTGATGATACTTCTCCACCTTCTCGTTCTTCTCAGAAAAGATCAACACGTCCTGCACTCCCTCTCCACGCTCAGTTTCAGACTGCACAATGGACTAAATTCTTCACTTTACGACTGACTTCCTCTACCGCCTATCTTTCCGACCACAGTATTGGCAAGGCACTCCTACGCCATGTTGGTAAAGATATTTCTTTTCATGCTCTTAAGTGCGGTACGTGCATCATCACTGTACAGAATGCTACCCAAGCTCATGATCTTTCTCTTTTTTCCCATATAGATACTGTTCCTGTCACTATTGAAAAACATCATTCCCTCAATTCTTGTAGTGGTACCGTCATTCTGCCCCATACCATAGTTCAACAAAATTTCCAGACATGTGGCAATGACATTCTTGAACAGCTGGAACTCCAAGATCTCCCAATCCTCAAGGTAGACACTTATGTTCTTCCTGCCCGTGGGCGGAGACGATACCCTAGCAATGTAGCTCGTTTAACTTTTGACAGCCGTGAACTCCCATCCTCAGTTTATGTAGCAGGACATCGGTTACAAGTTCGAAAGGTGATCCCTACACCGCAACAGTGTAGAAATTGCTGGCGATTTGGCCATCCAGCGAAATATTGCAGATCCATAGCCAAATGCCCAGTCTGTGGTGCTGATGACCATTCTAATACGTCTTGCAATCGATCTCCCTCTTGCCTTAATTGTCATGAGGCTCGCTCTTCGTACTCTCGCCGTTGCCAAGTCTACTTAAATGAGCGGGAAATCCGTTACCTCAAAGAGGCAGAAGGTCTCCCTTATGCCATGGCAGTTTCTCATCTCAGCCTCCGAGGGAGACTACCTCGTGTTTCTTATTCCCGTGTTTCAAAACGTCCCCCCACTTCTGTGGTCCCATCTTCTGCAGCCTCCTCTGTGGTTACCTCTCCCATAGTCACTCCTGTATCTAATTCTTTTGCTATCCTAGGCTCAGACGTCCCTACTTCAACGCCTCAGTCTGTTC